AGTTTACAGTCTAACTGTAAACCCGATCTTCAGTTTAAATGTAAACTCAATCTAAAAATACATACACAATTAATCTCAATCTCAGAATACATACACAGACTAATCTGTGTATGTAAATTTCATACATAGATTTACATAAATAATGACGAGTAGAATACATGAGAGAGAAAATTTCAATGAAAATAATCAAAATACATGAGATTAGATAGACAATCAATGGATTAGGGCCTTGAAACTAATGAGAGAAAGGAAAAATAAGGGGAAGGTATCAAACCCTAAAATCAAACCCATTTACAACATTAAACCCATAAAACTCTAGTAATGAAACCACTTCAAACAAATCCATTTCAGAAATTAAGAAAAAATTAACTGGAATGGGTAGAATAAAAACCCTAGAGCAAAAGTTCACAGTTGGGGAAATAGAAGAAGGGGGAGGGAGAGAAAGAAAGCAAGATAGAGAGAGTGAGACCGAGACAGAGAGGGACATAGCAAGAAAGCGAAAGGGAGCGAACCTGTTAGCAGCAATGCTTGTGGTGATTTCCGGTGTACGAGGAATGACGGTGGTGAGGTTGCGAGGTTTGATGGTGATTTGCGCAGCAGAATGACAGAGCAAGAGATGTTCTGTGGCTGTGTGTATACAAAGAGAGGCAAAATGTGTGAGATAGGCGTGAAAATAATCTAAAACATTTAAAGCTTTAGCGACTAATGTCTTTGTTAGTCACCAAAACTGAATCATTGGCAATGCTTGAATATGATCTGCTGCCAACTGGCAACTAACAATTATTTTGTCGGCAAAAGGTATACAACACTGACTAAAAAACAATTTAGTAGCCTAAAATATATACTATCAGCGACTAAACATTTTTTAGTAGCCTATGATGGAATATTTAGCGGCAAAAATATTGTTTGATTGCCAATAAGCTATATTTCTAGATTAAAAAATTTAACAGCTATATTATTTGGCAACCAAAAATTGTTTTCGTCGGCAATTGTTCAATAATTAGCGACTAAATAATAATTCAGTAGCCAATTGTGCCATTATTAGTGACTAAATTTATGTTAGTCGCCGATAAGCAATATACATCGACTAAAAAACTTTAGTAGCTAAATTTTTTTATTTTTTCTGACTAATAAACTATTTGGTCGCTAATTCGAACACTTTTGGCGACTAAAAATTGTTTAGTCGCCAAAAGTGTCATTTTCTGTAGTGTAAGTGTTAATGTCCTATTTTTGTTATTCAATTGTTTAAATCTTTAACAAGATCTAATCATGTGATAAGAATGTGACAACGACATGAGGGTAAGGAAAGAAAATCATCTATGATAGCGTTTGGTTAATTGCATGAATCATAAATTGAAAAGAGAAAATTTGTTTGGCTATGAGTACGGATGGCCACGTGACAGGTTTTCCATCCCTTGCCTCGCCTCTGTCTCTTTTGATCTCCATGCCAAGAATTTTCTTTACTTTGCCCAGATCCTTCATTTCGAACTTTCCTGCCAACTGTGCCTTAAGTTTATCAATCTCCACCTTGCTTTTAAATGCAATCAGTATATCATATACATATAAGAGCAAATAGATGAAGGAACCATTGGAAAGCTTATGGAAATATACACAATGATCATACTAGCTTCTTGTGTATTTCTTTTCCGTCATGAACCAATCAAATAACTTGTACCACTGTCTCGGGGATTGTTTCAACCCATACAACGATTTGTTCTACTTACAGGCCCAATTCTCTTTTCCCGTAACTTTGAAACCATCTAGTTAAGACATGTATATCTCATTTTCAAGATCTCCATGTAAGAAGGCAGTTTTGACATTGAGTTGGATAAGCTCGAGATCAAACTGTATAAACAAAGCTAGCAAGCTATGAATAGACGTGTGCTTCACAATATGTGAGAATACCTCATTGTAGTCTATTCCTTCCTTTTGGGCATAACCTTTAGCTACCAATCTAGCTTTGAATCTGATGTTGTCTTTTCTTGGGATGCCTTCCTTCTTAGTGTAAACCCACTTACACCCAATTGCTTTATTGCCTTTTGGAAGTTGCACCAATTCCCAAGTCTGGTTCTTATGGAGTGACCCGATCTCTTTATCCATAGCCTCCTTCCATTTGGCACTTTCTGCATTCTACATGGCTTCTTTGAAATGTGCAAGGAATATTGTCTTCAATGATTGGAAGTGCATAGGCCACCATATCGGTCATCCAACCGGGTTGCTTAGTAACGCTTTTCGTTTTCTGATTGTAATGGGTTTTGACTGTTATGGGGTCTCTGGATATTCATTCTCATCTGAACTCTTTTCAGGATCTTTTTCAGAGCTATCAACTGAGCCTTCTTTAGGATGGTTGACTGGCTGAATAGTCTTTGCTAGAGTCTTAAACTGCATCAGCACTAACTTCTTCAATGCTTCCTCATTCAGTTGAGGATTTGGCTGCTTCAGCGTTGTAGACTCATCAAAGGTAACGTCTTTTCTAGTGACAACTTTCTTTGATTCAGGGCCCCAGAGTCTGTATCCCTTGACACCGTCACTAAAGCCCAAGAAGATAGCTTTCTTGGCTCTAGGATCCAACTTAGATTCTGTAACATAAAAATAGGCTAGACATCCAAAGATACGTAGCTGATCATAATCAGTAGCTGGCGCTCCTACCCATACCTCCATGGGAGTCTTGCCATCTAGTGTTGCAGCAAGTAGTCTCTTGACAAGATGAGGAGCATAGTTCAATGGCTCGCCCTAAAATGCCATGCTCAATCCTAAATGTGACAGCATACACCGGACTTTCTCCAACAAAGTGTGGTTCATGCGTTCTGCAACTCCATTTTGCTGTGTCATTCCACTAACTGTGAAATGTCTCACTATCCCTTCATTTTGGCAAACCTCAAAGAAGGGATCTGATACGTATTTGCCGCTATTGTCAGATCTGAGCGTCTTGATCTTCCTGCCTGTCTGGGTCTTAATCATTTTCTTCCACGTACGAAAGATATCTAATACTTCATTTTTATGCTTCATTGTGTAAACCTATACTCTTCTTGAGAAATCATCAATAAACAACACAAAGTAGTGTTTACCTCCCAAAGAAGCATTCTTGGAAAGTCCCTAAATATCTGTGTGAACGTAGTCCAAAATCCCTTTGGTACAATGAATGGTAGTACCAAACTTGATTCTTGTTTGTTTGCCCAGTACACAATGCTTGTAAAACTCAAGTTTTCCTGTCTTGGCGCGTTTCCACAGGCCTTGCTTTACCAACCCTTGTAAAGCTTTCTCACCAACATGCCCTAGGCACATGTGCCAAAGTTTGGAAGTGTCTAAAGCATCATCCTCTGAGCTGGTAGAGACAACCACTCTCCCTATGACTGTAGAGCCGTCTAGGAAATATAAATTTCCTTTCTGAGTACCCTTCATTGCAACAAATGCTCCTCGAACAACTTTGAGGACTCCACCTTCCACAATTACTTTGTAACCTTTCGAGTCTAAAACTCCTATTGAGATGAGATTCTTCGACAAATCCGGTACATGCTGAACATCTTCGAGAATTCTGATTGTTCCATCATTCATCTTCAACCGAATTGTTCCAATCTCCTTTGTTCGGCAAGCTTGGTCGTTGCCCATCAGCACAACTCCTCTATCGAACTCTCGTAAGCTCGAGAACGACTACTTGTTAAGACACATGTGGTAAGAACATTTAGAATCTAGAATCCATTCATTAGAATGGCCAAGTGATGAAACTGTGAAGGCTGATCCTTCACCATTATCTCCATCTCATGCAACGTTCACCTTTTCCTCTTTCTTGTCTTTATTGGGATAATATTTTGCCTAATGTCCCTTCTGGCGACAAGCAACACACTCGTCTTTTGCAAGACGTCTTCTATCTGATGATCTCCCTCTGGATTTTGAGTAAGACTTTCCTCGCCCTGTATATCTTCTGTTATTTGTCCTGCCTCTGGCTATCAATGCCTCTGATGCTGAGTCCCTGTTTGTAGACTTATCTTTCCTTCTGAACTCATTATTTACCAAGGCGTTTGAAACATCAACATGCTTGATCTTTTCTTTACCATACAGTAAAGTGGTAGTGAGATGGTCATATGTATCAGGCAAGTAATTTAACAATAACAGATAATCGATTTGAACATCTAAGTTTTTCAAATCGGCAAGAATTTTGTTAAAATTGTTCAGGTGTTCGTTCATTGAAATACCTTTCTTGTAGTCAAAACGAAACAACCTCTTCTTCAAGTAGAGCTGGTTCTTAATGCTCTTTGTCATGAACTTGTCTTCCAGCGCCTGCCAAAGCTCCTTCGTAGTATCATATTCTGTGAATGCATACTTTTCTTCTTTTGCAAAGCAAAGTCAGGTGGAATAGTAGGCCAAGAGATTCACTTTCTCCCATTCTATCTTGTCCAAATCATCTGGTTTGTCTCCTAGAGTGAAGTGCAGGTTCATCTGGACAAGCATATCTTTAACTTTGCATCTCCACATGTCGAAGTTACTGCTTCCATCAAACTTCTCTACCTTGAACTTAGTGTGAGACAAAGGGGTCCAACGTCCAAAGCTGTTTGTAGTCGTAGGGATGCTTATAGACTCGGCTGATCGAAAAGTTGCTAGAAAGATGGTTGAAAAGTCACCAGCGGTGGTCGACGACAAGGATTGGTGGTGGTGGTAATACAGACAGATAGATAGATTAGGTGAAAAAATTGGTGACATGCAAACAAATAAGTGGATGATACATAGACAGATAAGCGATGTGCACATATAGGTAGATAATGGACAAATAAAAAGATATGTATGCGTAACATGATTTTTCAAATTATTTTGTCATTTTGACTCCAAAATAATATAGTTTGGAGATATTGCCCTAAAAATTTTGAAATTTGACTTACGACTCGAGTTCTCTATATTTTACACTAAACATTTATGCAAGCTTCTATATTACATTAAAATGTCATTGAAACAGGAAGTATTTAGCCATCAAATTATTTAGTTTTAAGTTTTTAATTTTTTCCCCTAGACATAATAGTAAATGTCTTACCCCATGGCAAGGAGGGTAAGGCTCCAAGCAATGGTGGCAGCAGAAGCAGCAGAAGGCAAGCTGCTGGTGTGCCAAAAACGAACGTGGTTGAATCCAGCGATGACTGATGCAACACCAACCACGCTCGCGATCAAAGCGAACACTACAAAGAATCCTGTGGCTGCATTTCCCATTGGGAAGTATATAGGAGAAAAGTGTGCTGGAAGATCAAATCCTGGACCTGTTAAGACATCACAAATTGAATTGTTATATACATATAAGCATACGTACCTCCCCAAAAAAGAAGAAGAAGAGTGATTTATATAGACCTATGATGAAGCCATGATCAATAGCTCTGTTCATTGCCCATCCACCAATGCCTAGAACCACGACAAACATGCAGAAGTTGAGGATTAAGAGTACCGCTGCAACGGGCTTTAACTGGCCATCAGCCATTGTTGGTTCTGTAAATGGTGGTATAGGATGAGAAGCTGTTAAAGAAAGGTGTGGGTACTAAATTGTTAAGGAGTAGGGAAGATTGGTGAACATACATTTGTTTTGTGCAAGTGGAAGGGGGTTTTTATAAATGGCCTTGTGTTAGAATGTTCTTTCTTTTTTTATTCTTTCCTTGTATAGCCTTTTTGTTCCAGAGGGAATTTGTGGGGTTGCAAAGGTGATGCTTTGTATTGAAGGCAAGTGAAGAAAATTCAGATTCTTTGTTGGCTTGGCTTGGCTTACATTTTTGGGTTATTCTTTTCTAGGTGGTAACATTCTTTGTGTGCAGCTTTGTACCAATTCCATTTCTTTCTGTTAAGGAGGGAAAGTGATATTCTTTGCCAGTTGGAGAGGTGCTTTTGTGTCAAATTGTGAGGATCCTACCTATCCAATCATATCATGCCATCTGTTTGACAAGTTCCTATGTTAAATAATAGGGTGATTATTCAGTACTCCCGGAGTATGGACACGTGGTGCTCCATAATGTTTTGATTGGTGAAGAGACACAATGGCCCACGATTTATGTTGGGGATGGAAGAACAACATAGGGGTAACTAATTAGTGATTAATTTGGAATATGGACACGTGGTGCTCCGGGAGTATTGAATAATTTCCTAGGGAGGGGATAAGGAAAACAATTATTTAGTTACGTGGCAATTTTATATTGGTTTAAAACATGAATAATATTAGGAATGATGAAAAAAAATCATGAAATATTTCATGAATAATTTTCATCCTTTGATTAGTGTGTGGTGTTTTCTTATATGTATAATCTAATGGTAAAGAATCTTTCATGATCATTTTTATGAAAAAAAATTTCATGATTTAATTTTTTTTCATGATTTAAATTTTTTTCATGATTTAAATTTTTTCATGATCTCTTTTAATTTATTTTCCCCAATAGACTCCCTATTATTTTTCTGTTATATTAACAAACTCTCTATTTTTTTATTTTATTAAAATATAATTTTTAATTATGAATTTTAAAAAAATAAAAACCATAAATGTGCACTGTAATCGGTAAACAAAGCAAAGCAAAGCCAAAAAAAAAAAGTGAGCTACAGTTTGGAATGGCTTATAAGAGAGTTGATGGGGGTGGTATAAGGAAGCTCTAACCCTCTAAAGTAGGTAAGAGAATGATTTAGGGGTCTACTGAGGATGCTTTAAGTCCTAATAAAATTGTCGGTGAAAATAAATTTTTTGTGACAATTTTTTACATATGTCGTTAAAAATTGATAATTAGTGACTTTTTTGTTACAGTTTTTATAAATTGTCCCTAAAACTTACAATTAGTGACGTTTTCCTGTAACGAATTTTTCAAACTATCGTTGAAAATTGAAAATTAGTGACTTTTTTATGACAATTTTTTTAAATTGTTGCTAAAACTTATAATTAGTAATATTTTTTGTGACAATTTTTAAAGTGTTACTGAAAATTAACAATTAGTGACTTTTTAAATAATATTTGATGAAAAACGTAACTAATTATTATATGACCTATTAGACAATATATCTAACTATTAAGATTTACACATAAGGCTCTAATAAAATTTTGATCCGTAGCTGACAAATCTATTAGTTATTTCTTACACAAAAACATAGACTAATCAATTATAGTGGATGCTATAAGGTATCCTTGTGTTATAAAAACAATTGAAAATTTATGTATTTGAAATTAAGTAATTATATTATTATTTTAAAAATAAATTATATAATAAAAATTTAAATTCAATAATTTGATTCACACTAACAATAATTAATTGCAAGGAAGAGAACAAGCTTATAAAATGGGCATGACAGGCTTCTGAATTGTGGTGCAAACCCTTATCATTACTTCAGATTAGGGATGTAAAAAATTCGATAAAATCGTCTTGACTGTTTATAATTGATCGAAATTTTAGTTTTTGGTCAATTTTTTGTAATATGCATGTTTATTTGGTTTTGAAATTTTGTACACTCAACCAAACCAAACAGATTGAAATATTTAAATACTTACATCTTTTAATTCTTTGAGTATTAAAAGATGAGTGATAAACAATACACTACTTGTATTAATACACCACTACTTGTATAGAACAACTTTCACCATTTTTCTTTATTTATTCTCAATTCAAAATTCTATAATTTTTTTTACAAAATCCTTTAAAATATTATGCGAATCGATCCCCTATGCCAAACGGCAAAACTAAAAAATCAAACTGTAATATATAGTCTGTTTCGATTGCTCAGTCAACAAAATTGAACTGTTCGAATCAATATTAAAATTTTCTTTTAACTCTAACCAAGCCAAACTATTTACAACCACATTACAGAGCGAAAAGAAAATGTTGTCTCAATTCCATTAAAATTATTAAATTCAGACCATCACAAATAAAAAATCCATTTACAAAAATAAAATGTACCAAATGAGTATAAAATTGTTTAGCTATAAAGGGGTGGGGACTATGCATTTTTATCAAAAAATCAAAAAATTAATATAAATTGTCATATCACTCTTTTTATTTTTTTAGATATGTTTTCATAAAATGTCAAAAATATTACTAAAATTAACATGTTTTCAAACGAGACATAAATCTTTAAAAAAAACTCCAAAGGTGTCATTTGCTCGTGTTATATAGCACAATCATTCAATCGTTCCCCAGCTGACTACTGGCAGGCCGCTACGTCTTTGCTCGGTCGATCGGCTCAGGACCCCGAGATTAGTCGAGGTGCATCACTCACTACAAGAAAAAGCACATTTGGCGACTAAATTTTTAGTCGCCAAAAGTCCATTTTTAGTCACCAAAAGTCGACTTTTCACTTTCCCCGACTAAATATTTTAGTCGCCGATTTTGTCGCGAATACATGGTCGCCGGAGGTATTGGCGACTAAAAAGTTTTAGTCGGCAAAAAACAAGTCTTTAGCGACAAAAGCTTTTGTCGCCAACAGTCAATTACATTTTTGAAAATTATACATTTAGTGACTAATCTTTTAGTCGCCAATAATGAATTATTATTTTTTATTTATACATTTGCCAACTATTTTTTTCGTCGCCAATAGTCAAGCTTTTGGCGACTAATTCCATTTTAGTCACCAAAAGCATATTTCAGAAAAAAAAAAAAAAAAAATACCCTCTGCTGTTCCCAAGTTTCGAACCACCAACCTTCCACATTCTAAACCTTTAGCAACACACTCTCCCCACTATGCCACTACAACATCACATGAATATAAATGCAACATATATTATTTATATAGTATATTGACCGGTATTAATACAAAATTATATATATATAAATAATTATTTTTGTTTAATATAATTTATGTAAAAAATAAATTATTTACTAAAAAAAATAGGAGACCACTTTTGGCGACTAAATCTATTTTTTAGTCACCAATTCTATACTTTTTGGCTACTAATTACATTTTTGTCGCTAAAAGAATTAATTCCCGCCTAAAACCTCCACTTTTGGCAACTAAACTGAATTTTAGTTGCCAAAACCCTCTACTTTGGGCGACTAAACTGAATTTTAGTAGCCAAAAAGGTTTACTTTTGGCTACGAAATTTTTTTTTTGTCGGTAAAACACGTATAATCGGTGACCAAACTATTTTTTAGTCGCCAAAACCTATACTTTTGGCTACTAAATGTTTTTAGTCCCCAAAAACCTTGACTTTTGGCTACTAAAATTTTTTTAGTCGCTAAAACCCATATAATCGGCGACTAAACTGATTTTTAGTCACCAATAACTATACATTTGGCTACTAAACTGTTTTAGTCGCCAAAAGTTTTCACTTTTGGCTACTAATTCCATTTTAGTCGCCGAAAGTGCTACTTTCAGTGACGAAATTTTTTTTTTTAGTCGCCATTTGTGCTTTTTGTTGTAGTGACTCCGAAGGGGTGCTGGCCCGGATACTCGATTATCAAAAAAAAAAAAAAAGTCATTCAATCGAATAACGTTAAATTTTAAATCTATATAATAAGGCAAGAGGCTTTTTGAAAATATAGAAAATATATGAGAGATACATTTGATATTAACGACTGAGATGCATCTTAAGTTTATGTCGATGGTTCAGATTGGTTGAGATGGATGATGGTTGCTGTCTAAAGAAAGCCACTATGTTCCCCCCACATGCCCTCTCTCTATCTCTCTCACTCTCACTCTGTTCTTCAGCAGAAGCAAAGAAACCCACCCGACGCTCCTCCACGTCTCAACCCCCCCACCTTCCCTCTCTATCTCTGTCTCTATCTCTATCTCTATCTCTTTCTCTCTCTCTTGCTTTCGCTCTCTCTCTTCACTCTTTGTTCTTCTTCTTGAACAGAAGTCCACCCTCTCTATCACAACCAACGACCCTCCTCCTCCTCCTTCGTTACGTCCCTCTTCATCAATCGTTCGATTTCAATTCTCTTCATCGATACCCACCATCTTCGCTACCGACGCTCCTCTTCCTCCGCCTCCTCCTCCTTGGTCACGCTCCGCTTCATCGTATGGTAAGATTCCCTTACAACCCTTTTCGATTTCAATATTGTTTTGTGGCTTTGATTTTTTATTTTGATTTTTGTTTTTCTAAACCTTAAATCTATTTGTTAATTAGGTATTTTTTGGATATCATTTTTAGGTATTTGGATTGCTCTAAAATAATTCTCCGAAAAACACCATTTCGGTTACAGAGCTCTTTGTATATACAGCTTCGCATTGATCTATGAGTGTTTTTGTGTTTTCTTTTTTGATAGTGACTTCAATTCCATTGTCGGTTTCGATTAGTTTGTAATTGTGTGTATGTATAGTTGATGTGTTTCAAATTATGTTGATTTGTTTGTACCCAATTGTGTTGATTTGTGTTTCAAATTAGTTTGTAATTGTGTTGATTTGTTTGTACCCAATTAGTTTGTAATTGTGTTTGTTTCGCATTGATCTGTTGATTTGTTTTCTTTTTATTGGGTTTTGAGTTTTAAGACTTAATAGAAGTAGTTTTGTTGGTGGGTTGGTGTCATTGGATTTGTTTGATGGAAACTTAGGAGTGTTTCTACGTTTGGAGCTAATTTGGTGAGCTGGGTCTGAATTTGGAGGTGAATTCAGGATTGGGAAGAGGAATTA